TTTCACCAAAGCATGGGGATGAAAATCAAATTGTTCCAGGCTGGCTCGTGCCGTCTCAATGACAGGCATCTGCATGAAAAACTTTCTCGTCCACATTCCAAAAGAAACATCGATGACCTGCACAGGTCCCACGGCCATCAACGGCCAGTCACGGAAAAGCATCGCCAGCTGATCCAACATGCATGTCATCCACGCTCCCCACATTAACCGCTGAGCTTGAGGTTGCCTATTAGCTTATCTAAATGAGGCCTAACCAAACCAACAGGGAGGAACTTGACTCGAATGCCTATCGAGGAGTTTCTAGAGGGGGCATCTGCAATATTACTGGAGGACGGGACCCGTGCATACCACGCAGTCAGGCAGGCTGCGTCTTCCTGTCTGAGCAAAGCTGATACCAATGCGGAACCAGGCCACGACCTGGCACTTCCACTTATAGCAACATCCCTGGTGCCATTGTTATCAACATACATGACGCAGGGTCGGTTCCTCAAGAGTTTGCGCCAAAGTTTCACACAAAGAACGAGTGCCAGCAGTTCGGCTTCAAAGATAACAGTTGATTTCTCGGGGTATCCCAAGATGCTCAGGTCAGCTTCGGTCAACGAGATGGAGATTGCGGCAAGCTGTTTTCCGGTCTCATCACAGAGCACTCCTCCAAGCCCACACGGCCACTGGCTGTCTTCTGGGTTGAAGCTGGCATCGGTAAACAGCAACATTGGCTTGTCCCAAGAGGCTGTGATTTCCCTGGGCCTAGCAGCGACCAGGCTATCCATGAAGGCTTGAAGACAGGCTATGGCATGATCTGATAGGGCCTCACCACCATCGCTATACGCATGAGCAGTAACAGCTGATAAGCATAACTTCGCCGAACGACCCCAAATCTGGCCCTTGGCGAATTGCATCCTGCCCCTCAGTGCCAAAGCATTTTTGGCACTCATCTTCCTGCACTCAATGGCATGAGCGATTGTAGACTGCAGCTCATCGATCCTCTTTCGAGTGTTGCGGAAAAGGACCCAGCCGGAAAACCACTGGGAGCAATCAATCTCTACACCCAGCGCCTTGAAGGAGCTAGCAAAGGGAAGGTTTTTATCACCATCTGACACCAACCACCCAAGTAGCTTGAAGAACTGCCCAGTTGCAATTTCCATGGTTGGCGCCTCACCTTTCCTGCAAAGCGTTATGAAGTCGTCAAAGAAACTGCTCCACAAAAACTTGAGTGCAACACATCCAAGCCACCACAGAGAGTGTGCCACTCTCAAAAATGAGTAAACTGAACGGCTGGCTCCAAATGGCAGCGCCCGCATGGAATAAATCTTTGCCGTTTTTGATGACGGGTCGTACACTGCAATGTACGACACCCACCGGGATTGTGGCGAGACTCCAAGCTGACGATACGCCGAGGATAGATCAATGGTTTTTCCAAGCCACTCAAGATTTTCATGTTGACGGAGAAGCTCCATGCAGAGCGCAGCAACTATATCCAAGGTGTGCAGCTTTGGGGCATTTTCAACTTGAACCGTCTGGTTTACGTTGGATGCAGTGAAATCATCAATCAAGCGGATCTTGACTGTCTCGCCCGATGACTGTCGAATGCCAAACCGTCTGCTGATTACTGCACTGGGTTCCAAAGAACTCGGGTCGATCGGGCCTTCTAACCAGCCACACTCTACTTCATCTTGAGTCTTGTTGAACACCTCTTGATCAATCTCGGTATCCCCCGACGAGCGCACCGACGCAAGCATTGCTATTCGCGAAGCTCTAGCTGACGAGGCCAACTCGTCTTCAGTGATTTTTGCCGGTTTGAACCCTGGCTCAAAGAAAGGCACATTTGGAGCTGCACCAGATAGAGTTATGCCCGAAACCACTTCATCGAACACAGCAACATCAGGATATTGATAATATTCCAGCATCTCTTTCCACAACAGCAAACGCTTGGGAGCAAGAATGCCCCTTAGGGAGGGGTGCAAAGACTCGTGCAGCTTACTCTCATCATTGCACAATTTCTTGCCACGATCCAACCAAAAGTTCAAGGTATCCAGCCTATGCCTAGCCACTTCTTTAAGAGACCTCGATCGCAGGAAATCCAAAGCATGGCTAAGGGCATGGGGCAACCTAGTCTCACACCCAGCAGGATGGCCAGCACGTGCAGCAGCGGTCACGAATTGGTCGCAAGACCTGCACACACCGAAATGCAACTCTCTCGAGACTCTCTTAGTGCCATCATTGGCCGGGTTTTTAGGGTTTACTTGGGCGAGACTATGGGCATGGTTAACATTATTGTTATGGGCCTGGAGACTATCATTATTAAAACCATGAGGTTGGTCGCATTGGGAGTCGGTGTTGTGGGTGATGTCACTGGAAATTCCCCCATTTAACCGGAGAGGGGGTCGCTTCAAGAGGCAGGAGCCGGCAGGAACATTAAGCCAAGGTGACTGCAATTTGTCCCCAGGGTTGATTGGCACTGGGCAGTCAATTGGCACTTGAATACGCATGACGGACTGGAATTCGGAAACCAATGGAGCAATTTTGCTAGATTTAGGCTGGACCCCGACAACCGAGCGAAGATATTGGTACGACACATCTTCTGGAGGCGCAAAAGCAACTGGTGGCGGGTTCCAACCTTGCAGGACAAGTTCTTGAGCCAGGTAATATGCAATGTGATACGCTAATGGTAGAGGATAGGCTGTCTCTTCCGATGTTGAAAATTTTCGGCCAGTGGGCCCATGTACAACACCCCAAGGTTTGTGTCTATGGAGGGAGCTAACTCCTGGGCAGACATGGTTGAGGTCCAGCAAGGTGGTTGTGTTGTGTGCGAGAACGGTCCATTTTGGCCTGTTGGACCCGTATGCACAAGCCTGGTGCGCCGTAAATTTTAAACGATTGACCAGCGGTCGGAAAAATGTGGTCTTCCAGTAAAGGGACAGCCGTGGGTTTTCCAGGCACACCAATTTTCCATGATCAAGGCAAAATTCTGCGGCAGTGGTAATGAAATGATAGATGGCATTTGCTTTTGAAACGCGCATGCGATTTATATAAGTCAAACCACTTAAACCATTTGGTTGCTCATCTGAACGTAAAGGTTGGGGCCCAGCAATGTAAATTCCATTAGGCAACATTATGGGGATTCCCCTGGCTCTGCTACATGTCCCGCACGGGGGTGCTGCGAACATGCCTACGCAATTTGGGGATTTCAACCAAGTCCAGCACAAGTCACGACCTGCTTTGGTGGTCAAGTCTGCGACAAGAACTCTACCTGCGTTCTTTTGTTTGATGTGGTCAACCCCAAATGAGGCCGGCATGCCTAACTGCTGGAGGCAGGCCGTGACGCGTGCAGAGCCAGCACAAAGTTCAATGATAAACGGATCTTTGGCCATGAAGCTTGCAGGGGCTTCAGCAGGTTCACATTGAGGCACTGGGTCATTGTTGCTTGAAACAGGCTTACTGGAACAATTTGGATCTGCATTGGTATGGTTATTCGGCAAAATAGGGTGAGACTGAGTTGTATCACCACCTCCAAACGCAATGTCTGTACAAGAGGAAAATTTGCGTTTGCGGGACGGCTCGTTGCATGCTAGTCAATGTTTCTTGTGATCGGCCATGGAGTGCGGCCCATAGCAAATGCAACACAGATGATATCCCTTTTTACAACGGGATCCTTCAGCCACTGATTCACGGCATTTCTTGAAAGCAAAGTCGAAACAGATTGGAGCACCATCGGGGGTGGATGCAGTACCACTGGCGTCCCTGATTTCCTTTGGAATTCTCTGCTCAGACTTTTTGCCTTTGCCCTTGCCTTTAAACGTGTATGGCTTCGACCTGAATGATCCTTTCTTGCCTCCTTTGGCAGCACCATAAGTCGCATGGCCTTTTGGTGCGGCATGCGAATCACTGGATGCACTCTGGGCTTTCGGTTGGGACTTTGACACTAATGGCAGGAGGGCGAAGCTCACTTCATATGTTTTCAGCGATGCCTCCAACTCAGTATCCATTGCCAGAGCTCCTGCATGGTCAGGACGCGGCTTCACATTTCGTTCAATCAGAGAGGTCCAAGCTGCTTTGTCTGCAGAGATGAGCTGAGAAACACTGCATCGATTGTACCCGGAGGGCGGCTCCTTGTTGAGGTGAGAAAACAGGAGCTGCACATACTTATCATGTCGAGTGTACGACATCACTCCAGCAAAATCAAGGGCAAGTCCACGACGCTTCATGGCTTCCAGGAGTTGATACGATGATTGCACGTTAGATTCAATGTCTGCATCTTTGTCTTTCACCACAATCTTGGACGATTCAATCTCAAGCAATTTTGTCTGGGTCTTACTTGTGGCAGCAAGTTCAGTGAGTCTGCTGTAACACTTCTCCAAAGGGATACATCGCAAAACATTCTGATCATACAACTGCGTGGCAAGGTCCAACAAGCAATGACTTGGTTCTGCATGGCCTTCGATCAAGACCCCATTGAGGCGGTTCCTGAGATTCGCCAATCTGGCTTCTCTCTCAGCTTGAGGTACCTTCCTGGCCGTAGTCGGCTCGGGGTTGGTCACCTGTTCCTTCAACATTGCCAGGAGCTGCGTCTGACTCTCGAACAAAAGACGTTTCAAGGAGGATACTGCACCTATGGTCGCATTCGGCTCCAACTGTCTGACCCAAGCTGTGAAGTCATCTGCATTGATAGGTTGACCAGGTTGGCCATGTGCATACGCCAGGGATGATATGGTTGTAATCCCTGAGTTTCTTAAGGCAATCCGGAGGGCCTGTGGGACCCTGACTTGTTCCAACCTCAAGTTGAATTGTGCTTCCGAATCAACCAGGGAAGTCATGGCGACCGAGCAGTCTGCTACCGTCTGAAAGAAACTCTTTAAAGTGAGGTCTCAAAATAGTTATGAAAAGTGCAAAGAAACGATTCAAGAATTTTTGCATGGTGTTCATGAATCAACCAGATGCGACAAAGAAAATGAAAAATGCATGCAGTAAATTCCTTGAACCAACATTCAAGGAAAATGGACTCACCTCCAAGCGACATGTTGGCACTCCGCTGGATACATCTCCAAGCCACTCGCTAAAGCATGCATCAAACTGTCTGCAGGTTTGGCAAATTGTAAACAAACGAGGCATCATTGATTCAAAACAACTGTTCATGAGGAACAGGCGCACAGCACGCTTCTTTTTCATCAGATCACTCAGAGTGCCTTACTCTGGTATACGTTGAGGTTACATCACCTCCTATTGCATGATCGGCAAAGGACATTCCAAGCCGTCGCCTCTGTGCATGGTTCATATGCTTTTGTAAGTCTTTTCCCACACACAAGGATTTGAGGACCTTCATGACCGCCCTCAAAGCGATGCACGAGACGGGATTTGGAGTGGACATACCACTTCTCATCCACAGGGATCCTAGCCCTAAATCTCTTGACTCTGGGTGGAGGCAAGTCAGGCATATCTGATTCACTGGAGGAAAGTTGCTTTTCCTCGTCGGATGAGGAGTCATCAGTTCCAACCTCCTCCATTGATGTCACACCAGGTTCGGCCAAAGCTTCATTGCTGTCATCTAGGTTCACTGAGAGAGCACCGTCATCACCAGCGCTCGCTGCAAGTGACTTGACTGATTCCACATCCACACATTGGCCAACATCGAGGTTGGCGGGGTTGTCCTGTGGCGCACTCTCAGTTGCTGGTCCAAAAAAGCGAGACCTCTGTTCATCAGGGGAAAATTCTTTGTTGGCAATTGCGTCAATGACATACTGCAACTCCACCACGGGGGACACCATCAAATCACGGGAATACAGAGCAAACGTTTCATTCAAGCATGAGGAATGGCGTCCAAGCAGCGACCTGGTGGAAGGGCTCAGGCCATACCTTGCTGCCCATGCCAATGCAGTTGCCTTCAAACTATGGCTTGAGACTAAAGGCGTCTCATCACCCTGTCCTCCATTAGGAATTCCCAAGAAGTTCCTCAGCATGGCAGACACCTCGTTGGACATCAGGCTGCGACCCAAAAAGACCCCGGCCTCGCCTGCTGGAGCAGGCAACAGGGGTCCATCAATTGGGTTTTCTAATCTGACCCCAGCTTCAGAGAAAACCTGTAGAGCGTCTGAAACCCAGACCTCACCATTGACTCCTCGTGCAGGGATCAGGATTGGTAACAGTCGCGTTTTCAATGATGCCATCCTGCCCGTCTTATGAAAGCAGGTGTCAAGGGTCACAAATCCTCCATCTCTGCTGAAATCCATTTCGATTGAGTGAATTGCTTGGAGGTCGCTATTCCTGCACCTTCCATAAAGACAAAACAGGATGTATGCTACAGCTGCGCGATCCATCACATGTAAATTTGGGTTCTTCAAGGCTGAGTGTAATCCAAGTACCTGAGAAACAGTAAGGACTGTTGCTTGCTTCAAAAGCCTCTTGCCCGAAAGCATGATCTCAGAGAGTCCGACCAACCTTCGGCTAGCCACCGCTGCTGCAAGCCCCTCAAAACCCAGCACAAAATGTGCAAAACGCATCGCTGACAAAGTGGAGTCAGCCTTTGTAGCGGGTGCACCTGACTCTTTGAGGAAAGTAAAATACCTCCACAACAAAGCCTCATTGAAAGGGTCAGTAGTGCCATCATGAGCATGAGCTACCCAACGAAGAAAAGACAGCAGCGAATTTGCCCTCTTGATTAATGTGGCGGGAGATCTGACTCCAACCACAGCCTCAACAATACCTTTTGCACCTTCTGATTGCATTGATTCATCACCCAGATCGAGAATGTGGCGACCAGTGATGCTGGCAGGCAAGTGATGCTTCAACACCACAATCAACTTGCTGACAGCTGCACTTCTGAGATCAGCACGTCTCTCAGCATAAATCTTTCCATCGGTGCAAGACACGCATGAAGCAAAAATAGGATGTGCAGAAGTACAACTGGCAGTCTCTGCAACTCGCTCGGCAACTATCTGAGGCTCCACTCCAAAATTGAAAGGACAATCTGCACTAATTTCCATAGCTGGTACCAACTGCTGAGGCGCAGGCTCATCAGAAAAGATTTCTCTGAAAATTCCAACTTCCCACGGCATCTTCAATCCACTAAAATCGCAGTTTGAAAGCAAACACCTAGCAAAAATGGCATCATGCTGTTCACGTGCAAGGGTCGGTGCAGTGACCTGTGGAAGCGCCTCTGCAAATCCAGCCACATCATCAGGGCCGTGTTCACCTGACATCAAGGAGCGGTCATCACGAGTTTCAAAATTGATTTCATAACCAGGGCCACCAAAAAGGTCATGATGATCAAATTCACTGCAAAGCTGTTGTGGCAGACTTCCATCATCGTTTGAATGCATGAAGTCAACACCAGAGTTTAAAGACTGTTGCAAATCGTCTCCACCGCAGTGCAAGTCATCTCCATCACTAGGCACCAGGGGTTGTAAGTCTTCACCGCTGTCAGTCATACCCCAACTTAACCGAAAAGAAGCCAAGTAAAACAAGAGCACCAGCCAATGCAAATGCCAAACAGCAATGTACATAGAGGCCAAAAAGGCCGAGCAATGAAGAATGTCTGAGGCTCCGAAGCGCCCAAATGCACGGAAGTTGACACAGCTACTCTGCCCCGGCTGGATGCGTCCAAACAAATCCGCCCCATACTACACGAACCCACTTGAAACCAAATCCTACTTGAGCCAAAATGGCTACGGACTTGCAACCTGCTGAAATTTCCTCGAACGTTTCGCATCGCGCAGCTTTCAAAGTCCAGCGCTCGGGGTCTTCACCCCGATTGTCATTCATATATTGCAATATGATGCTGATCCCGCACGCAAGAAGGCTGAGTTCACCGGCGTGCATGTTTCAGTGTAAAGGCAAATCAGTCGAGCTTGAGAGCAGCTGATGTGCGGTGAACAGTATTAAGGGTGGGAGATCTTCAGCAAAGATTGGGTGGGACAAACAAATCCGCCCCATACTACACGAACCCACTTGAAACCAAATCTTACTTGATTCAAGAAAAGGTGAACCTTAAACATCCAACACAAATGACATAAGATCGTTTCGCGTTTGTTTCAAGAAACTGAACACCAACATGGACATGTATGCAAGCACATTTGTGAATCATCTCACAAGTTGGAACATCTCCAACTTAAAACATTTTTCTGACAAAACAGAGTAAAAGGAAAACTGCAACTCACAAGATTCAGCATGCATAAACAAGTTCGATCATCCGAACCGCGTGCGCGAAACATAACCGGCCATGTGCACCAAAGCGACGTAAAAAGGTTTCATCATCCAAACCAAGACACATAATTTTGTTGGTTCGCTTCACGACGCCAGTTACCAGCAACACCAGGCTGCACACCACACGCGAAGAGCACAGGTTGTGCAGAAAGTTAAGCTTGGCTCAAAAATTTTGGGACAAGAAATTTTTGCACGCTGCTCAACTTAAGGCGCTATCAGTTCCTGACAGCTTGCTTACTCTGCACGACTCTTCTAAGAAGAAGAGTGACTGAGCTGTCCAACCTGGTGGTTTGGCTCAAGTCCGAGCTGTGAAAAAGAGCTGCCACGCCGCGCTCGTGTTTTCACATGGTAGCGGAGCCATGAAAACTCTATAGAAGCGCTGACTCCAAGGTCGTCTATAAAATTGCAGACGTTGACACTGGGGTAGGGGGATCGATACCTAGCCATGAAGAGGGAGCGTGGACCCGCGAGGGTCCCAAGGTTGTTGAGAGAGGGTTTACTGCTCTGCGCCCGTTGACCTCTTCGACCTGGAACCATGAATGGACATGGTCACACTCCCTAGCCGGCAGGTTGGTGCTGTCCTTGGGGACTCGGGCGTGTCAACCTGTGCTGCGTGGTCGACGGGCCACAGCGCCATCCACTCCTTGGTGACTCGGAGTGGGGGTTCCATCACCTCTTCTCGGTGGCTTGAATGTGGTGGAGTAGCTCCTTTGGATGGTCAGGCAAGTTGGGTGAACCCCTGAGTGTGGACTCACTGAGTTCGGACCGCGGTTCGTTCCACTGTTGTTCATGCAAAGGGGGGTCAGGTACACTTCTTTGGTAGGTTGTTGACCAGGTAGTGGTCGTCGTTCGATTATGGTCCCACGTCCTCCTTGGTGACTCGGGGGAAATGAATGGGTAACGGGGCCTATAGCCCGCCATGATTGGATGTCACCACTGCTTCAACTTCCGATCCATTGCTTGTGTCCTGGCTAACGGTCAAAGTTCGTGTGAGGGTTGCTATGCTCCGCACGGATCAGACCGTCGGTTCCTCCGTGACGAAAGCCGGGGTAGTCACGGTGTCTGGGGTAACCTGGACCTCCTTCGTGTGTTCCCATGCTTTCGGGTATGTGTCACATGGAGGGGTGGGATCGCTATTGACTGGGTCACCCAGCCGTCGAGGTTCTGGCAGACGCACCTCGGCTTAATGTACAGTCAGGCCACAGTAAGGTCCTACACCAAGGATCGAGCTGTGCTGCGTTGGGACCACACCCTTAAAAGGGGGAGGTTATAAGGTGGACAAGAAACCAACCCACCGAAGTACCTCATGTGGGAACCTTCGCAGGCCACATTGGACAAAGACATCAACGGTCTTGTGTTGCTTGCTTCTGCGGGTTGCCGCCTTTTGGCGAGCGAAAACACAGGGAGACCGTGTACGTCCTATGTGGTGGAAAGGGTACCGCCCCAGGGTGCGCCCTACATGGGAGCCCAAAGGTACCAAGCGTTGAACCTGACCCTAATGCACAGTTCGATGACTTATTGGAGGCACTGGGTGTGTATAAAGACATGTCAACTGAGTATGGCTTGAATCAGACTGTCCATCACCAATGGCGCTTTGGAGATCCCCATAAGAAATCTGGCGAACCTGATAGGCACGATTATGAGATCAAGGTAGTAGATGGCATTGAGGTTGCACCGGGACCCAAGTGGCATAGTCTCTATCGCTGGGTCGTGAGCCAAGCTGCTGAGTTCCTAGCCTTTCAGACTGTCTACCTTATCACTGACAATGGAGACCTACTCGCGGACGCAGTCGCAAACACTCCAGGGTTAGGCCACTGGCCCATGGTTGCAGCGTGGTGGAAAGATAGAATCCAGTACGTAGGCCCTTATGGTGAGCACACCACTGTTATTTTTGTGCCCATATCTGCAGACACGGGACTGGACAAGGTGCACCCTACATGGGCTGGCACCTACATACTTGACGCATGTGTCTTTCTTTTTCCGGCCATCAACTTTGCCCTTATCGACAGCGATTGTGTGCCTGTGACGCTCTTTGAAGTTCAGGAGTTGTGGCTATCGTGCACAAGCAATGATCATTCTGCTGAATGGTGCCTACAACCTGAGCCGATGCCGAGCAGTCCAATTGCGCCAGCGCATAGGAGAGCACGGTCAGTTGATACTGGGAAAGCCACGCAACAACAACCTGGCCCTCCTGTGAAGCTGTCGAAGTCGCGAAGCGTTGAGAATTTTGTTGCCACTGACATGCGGGCACCGTCTCCAGATGCCACGTGCAACTTTGAGGATGAGGTTGACTTTGGGGGGTCAGAACCGCCAAGTCCCCACCCAACTGAGCGAGAAGAAGAGAAAAGCGGCCCTTCCTCTCCCACTGCCCACTCGCTCTCTGGTTCAGCAGACAAGAGGGTGACCTCGAGAGCGCAGCAACCTCTGGCCAATAAGGGTGTCATCCTAGTCAGCGAAGCCTTCACGGAGATCAATGCAGGATTGGTCATTGTCTTAGCTTCTGGTCACCAGAGCCCACTCCTGGAAACTGAACTTGCTGATCCTGAGAGTGACCCAGATGAGCTTGCTACCATTGCCACCCAAGCCTACCATGCCCATGTTGAAAGTTATCTCTCGACCACCCAGCCACCTTGTGACACTGAAACGGCCGTTTCTAGTGGTTTGCTTGGTTCACCGCTGTTAGGCACCACCACCAGAGTTGCAGCTGACTGGTGTCATGCCTGGAGCTTGCTTGGGCAATGGTCTGGGTGGGTCACCTTTCTGGTCCCTGAGACGGGTGTCTGGCCTCGACATGTCCACTTGCGAGGAATCCTTGATGGTTTCCAAGGCAGGCAACCCAACTTTCACAAGTGGGCCCGTCCCGCATATGAGCAAGGGGCACTGCCAACCCTTAGTCTCCTCCCAGGAGAGGTCACTATCAAAGTGCTACCAGGAGACAAAATCTATCAGGCCATGGAAATTGAACAAAACTTCATGAGACCTGCTATTCTGCATGGTTTTGGAACCAGCGCCAAGCAACGTTTGCCATCGCGGCTTGCAGAGCTGGCACAATTCGGGTGGCTACCGCTTGCGGCAGCTCTGTTCGGCACAGCGGACTGGCAGCTGCAATGGCTACACCACAATTTCCTCCCCGTCATTGGATTGCGGGTTCATGCGAAGATTCCACCTTCCCCGCTCTCTTATCAACAGACTGTAGCCTTGCTCGGCTTGTGGGAGCGAAGAGCTACCTACGGAAGCCAGTGCCGTGCCCTTACCCAGGCAGCGGAACTCAGGTTTGGTCTCCCGGCAGCATTCAATACACCAGAGAACTGGCAAACCGAAATTAAAGGACACGTCTTTGATGTAGTTCAGTGTGCCCAACGAATTTACACTGGAGCCGCCGCCGGTACGTCAATCGTGTCGATCGACCGGCCGCAGAAGTGGGCGCCAATGGGTCTTCTCGTTGGGAGATATTTGGCAAGATGACTCTCCCATGCCAGACCGACCCCTCATAGTACATTGCAGTGGACTGGGTGGAGGGCTGCTGAGCCCTGATTATGAGTATGATATTTTCTTTCAGAACCACGCACAAATGAAAGTCTATGGCCCTTCACTTGCAATGACAGATGACTGGGAGCAGCGCATCACTCAGCTTGGTCTGGCCAAAACCACTCATGAGTATGCAATCTATCAGCTGTTCTCCGCTGCGCTAGGATGGAGTGCGTGGAAAGCTTTCCTACCGGACAAGTTTGCAAATCACAAGCTCCTTATCACCCGCGCCATACGGCTGTTGACTGCTGCTACGATCCGGCCTGCGCATGCAAGGCCACCACATCCGACGTGGGGTACTGCTGTTCGTCAGATCTTCCGGTGCTATCACCCGCAGGGCAAACTACTGTTTCTGCGAGCCTGCTACCCGCAGTATGCTACCGTACCTGTCCCAGAGGGCATTAGGGAAGTTGACGTCCTCGGCTTCTCTGCGGGGTCGTATACTGGACTCGCAATCCATGAAGTGCTCAATGAGTTTGCCTGCTTCCCGGGAACCACCAAGGTTGCGGCAATTGCCTCTCCACCTGAAATGCTGCGTCTTGCAACAGGGGAGAGGCGGGTGATACTCCTTCACTGCTTAGAGGACCGACTCTGTGTGTGGCGTCCGGATACGCTCACAGATCTGAGCTACAACATTGTACTCATAGAAGGACA